AGGAAACAGTGTGTTGCCATGTATGGGAGGGGCTGAGGCTGGCTCCTGCAATGCAGAGAAAAGCAGCATGCCCATGGGGCTAAGGGTGGACAGCTGTGTTGTCAGTTACTAGTGTTTTGCAATTGAACAAGGGGTACACCCCACTCTAGAGAGCATAAGAGAGTGTGTCCTAAAGGAAGCCCCAGGAAAGGAAAAGGGTGGGGGGGAGGTTTCTGAAGAAGATGGGGGATTGTACACGGAGGCTCCTATGGGAAAAAACAAAAGCCTTGGGCAGCCCTATAAGCAGTTGGTTGTGCCTGCCCAGCACCATGGGGAATTAATGTTGCTAGCACATGACTGTCCTTTTACTGGTCACCTGGGGCACAGAGAACCCATGAAGGTAAAAGAAAAATTTCTACTGGCCAGCAATACAGGATGATGTGAGGAATTATTGCAGGAGACCTGCAGGTTACGAAAAGAGTTAAAAGACATGAAGGATGCTGTTCAAACTAACCTGAAAGACAGTCAGTCCAAACAAAAGGCGTGGTCTGATAAACATACTTGTAAGCATTCTACTGAAATAGGAGACTTGGTGTTGGTATTAAGCCCTGTGAAAAAATACACAATGCAAAATTCTTGGGAAGGAACTTTTGAGGTGATAGAGGTAAATGAAGATACATATCATGTTAAAAAGCTTCATGGTAATGTTGTCCCACAGCTACTACATGTAAACAGACAAAGCCTGTCACAACAGGAAAGCCATGGTTAATATGATCTTCTGTGTAGAAGGGAAAACTGAGGCACACCACCTCATTGATTTAATGGCTGAAGGCCAAAAACTGACTTCTCTGGAAAGCATTGATACCTGCAGTGCATTAAACACCAGTTGAAAGGGCAGAGGCGTTGATTGTGCTGGAAGAACACACAGAAGTGTTTTCTAACAAGTCAGGGAAGACACACTTGCTGACTCATTACAGAAAGGATCACAGCCACCTCCCAGCAGACCCCACAGGGACACTGGCAAGGTGCAGGAACAAATTCATACAGCTATACAAAGCATGTAAGATCTGGAAGTAATTAAAGAATCTGTCAGCTCATGGGCGTCATCTGTGGTCTTGGTCCCTAAGACAGACAACGCTGTAATGTTGTGTGTTAATTACAGAAAACTCAATACTGTCACAGTGCCAGATGTGTATCCCATAGAATTGATTATATGCTGGACATTTTAAGCAGAGCTAAATATCTCAGCTCTTTTGATTTAACTACAGGTTATTGGCAAATTCCTTTAGATAAGGTACCCAGAAAAAAATCTGCTTTCAGCACTGAGAGGGGATGGTACGAGTTCCCAATATTATTATTTGGCTTAATTAATGCAGAAGCTGCGTTTCAGAGGCTGGTCAACCAAGTGCTAAATGGTTTGCAGAGCTTTGCAAGGGTGTATGCCGACGACATCGCAGTGTTTAGCAACGCCTGGGCTAATCACAAAAAAAAAAAAAACACTTAAAAATTGTGCTGTCAGAGCTCAAAGCAGCAGACCTAACTATAAGAGCCTCCAAGTTCAAAACTGAAGCAGCCAGAGTTCCTTATCTGGGACACTGGGCAGGGGGAGGTCAAATATCCCCTGATCCCTTGAAAGTTGAAACCATTTTGTAAAGTGACCTGTATCCCAAATCAAAAAACAGGTCCAATTTTTCATAGGTGTGATAAACAGTTACAGAAGGTTTGTGTATGGGTTCAGTGACATTGTACCTGCAAGCACAGATCTATAAAAAAACAAACAAACCACAAAGCCTAACAACATTGTATGGACAAAGGCATGTCAAGAGGATTTTGATAAGGTAATAAAATCTTCTCTGAAAAGCCTGTTCTAACTAGTCCAGATTCTGACAAAATGTTTGAAATGTATACAGATGCATCAGACATTGGTCTAGGCATTGTACTGATGCCGAGAGGGGAAAACAACAAAAAACACTCCATTGCTTTCTTAAGAAAAAAATTGGTACCTACTGAACAAAATTATTTTGTCAGAGAAAGAATGTTATGAAATAGTTTGGGCAGGAAAGCAATTAAGGCCCTATCTTTTTAATAGAAAGTTCAAGGTTTAATGGATCATTCACCATTAAACTGGTTAAACAAAACTAAAAGCTCAAATTCCAGGCTTCTACATTGGAGTTTCATACTCCAACAATTTGATATGGATATTGTACATATAAAGAGAAAAGAAAACATGGTGGCAGATGCCCTAGCCAGGAAAGAGGGTCCTGACCTGCAGCCTCCAGGGCAGCCAACGGCTGACCCTACTATAGCTTTGTAAGGGAGGAAATGTGACAGAATATACCCCCGTGTTCACGCACTATTGTAAAAATGTCTGTACAAGGTATGCCTTGTGAGATATCATTTAAGAACTCAACTTGCTGATCAGTAATATCATGGAAAAATACACATAGCAACATTATATGTTGTTATGAACATACCCTGAAATCATGACTGAACTATGTCTCAGGATTGTGTCCTGGTATATCTCAAGACTTCGTTACCTGGTTGCCAAGTATATAGAAATAATGTACTTGAAAGATATTACCTGTCATTAGGTTATCGAGAAACTGAAGTACACCTTTTCTTACATCGATATTCCAGAGCAACTAGTGACAGAAAATGGGCCACAATTCATTGCAGTAGAATTTTAGTCATTTCAAACTAATTATGATGGATTCTGATCATATTACTAGCAGATCAGATTACCCATAAGCGACTGGAGGGGCTGAGAGAGCTGTACAGACAGCCAAGAAAATCCTACAGCAGAAAGATCCATTTCTTGCTCTTCTGAGTTACATCATTACAACTACTGGATATAGTCCAGCACAACTCCTGATGGGAAGACAACTCAGAACTACTGGTTCAGCTTTGGTAAATAATCTATTTCCAAAGTGGCCAGACATGAAGAGTAGGTAAGTTGGGTAAAAAGGCTTAACAAGCTTATGAACACTTTTACAACAGACATCACTCAGTTAGAGAACTGCCAGCTCTTGAACTTGGTGACCATGTTCATGTCAAATTGGATCGAGAAAAAGGATGGACATCTCCAGCTGTTATAAAGAAAAAGAATCCAGCACCCAGCTCATATGTGATCAAGACCAACAGTAGAGAGTTCAACAGCAACCACTGACATCTAAAGTTTGTTCCTCAGAAAGAACGATGAACAGAACAAATGGTACAGATGGCAGAAGACGATGACGACTCAAGGATTCCAAACTGACCACAGCCAGTTGTTGCAACTAATGGATAGCCAGATGATCAAGTTGTTACACATTTGGGTCATGTAACTAGAAAACCTGTACGCTTCAGAGACACTTAATAGACTTACCTGTACTGAACCTCAAAAAGACCATGATAGTGTAAATATTGTAAATGGAAGGAATGTAGAACTTAAAGGGGGGAGATGTAATGGAAGGCCAAACTGTATTATACTATTCAGCCACTAGCTGGCACTGTGTGCAACACACCATTGTTAGACGAACCTCAGGCCTGGTCTCCAGTACAGAGTTAGGTTGATGTAAGGCAGCTTACGTTGACCTAACTACGTAACATGTAGCTCCAACTGATGTAACTTGCTCCCTACGCTGACTTAATAATTCCACCTCCATGAGAGGTGTAGCGCTTAGGTCGATGTAGTTAGGTTGACGCAGTGTCAATGTACACGCTGCATTGCTTACACTGAGTATTGCTGCCTTTTAGAAGCAGTCCCACAGTGCCCCACAATGACAGTTAAATCAGTGCAAGCACTCCTGGTGAGGATCTGCACCACCAACACAAGGAACGTAGTGTGGATGTTCAAAAGCAATTTAATTACGTCGGCGTACAGCCACCCCAGTAACTTAGGTCGAGTTACTTTTGTAGTGTAGACTTGCCCTCAGCTATACCTGGCAGAGTTTTAAAAGATTTTATGATAAACACATCTGGTGTGTATAACCAAGCTCTGTAGCCAGCCAACATCTGGCACAGGAGCATAACAGCTCCACCCCACATCTTGGGAGGAAGAAGGGGGTGCCAGCGGCCCTGACCATAGGGGAGGGAGGGATAGGGGTGCAACAAAGTGGGGCCCAGGCCTCTTCTTCTCTGGCTGGCTCTGAGCACAAACCCAGCAACCACCACCTCCCTCCTGGCCACACCCAGACAGCAGCGGAGGAGGTAATGGGGAGGGGCATTCGCATCCCCACCCAACAGGGGAGCCCCTGCCAGTGTTCTGGCACTATGGGTGGGGGGGGGGAGAAGGCCCTGGCACTTCCCCAAGTTCCCTGCTCCAGGCGAGGCAGCAGAGGGGAGGAGGACTGCAGCCTGGATGTTGGGAAGCAAAGGCGCTGAGGGCCCAGGGAACTGCATGGTACCTCCCCCTTGCTCTCCAGACTGTGCCTTGCCCTGGCCCGGGTGCCCAGACGCAGCATGTCCCTTCCACAAGGCAAATACTAGAATAGGATGTGCCAAGCCCAGGTCCCCACTGCATTACCTCCTGTGCAAGTGATGGGTCTCCCGCCGGAGGGCCACTCTGCTATGCTGTTTTGAGCATGGCCAAGAGGGGAAATGACAGCTGCTGCTGAGTCTCTGCTCAGAGCCAGCCAAGGGGGATGGGGCGCCCCCCCTCCACATTGTGCCCATCAGTAACGCTGTTCCACAGGGTTCCAGAAATACTCAAGTGCTGCCATGTCTCCCTTTCTTTTTCCATGTAAGTGATCCCCTCCCAAGCAACACCCCACACCATTCAAAAAAAAATCATGGCACTACCATGCCATTTGCTGCCACCCCACTGCTCGCTCTGGTTGTATGTTCTATTCCTTTTCTGCCCTGTTTCTGTCTTGCCCACTTGGACTGTAAGCTCGTCAGGGCCGGGACCATCTATTACTCTGTGTTTGTGCAGCGGTGAGCATAATGGGGGCCCATTCGTAGTTGGTCCCAAGGCACTACCATAATACACACGATTATTAAATAATAACTACCCCAGAAGTACAGGCCTGAACCACTCAAGCTAAAGGAGGCCTGTAATTAGGCCTGGCAGAATTTGATTTTTATTCTTTTACAATTTCAATGGCTAATATTGATGTTAAATATTATTTTAGACTTTTAACTATTTAAATGTTATAGTTGTGGCAAATTATGGAGGAGTCAGGCAATATTTAATGACAGTAGATGTTGAAATTCAAAAAGTTAAAGCTGTATAACCATTAAAACACAAATTGCCAACATCACAAGTCAAAATACACAAGGTAAATAACCATAAATCAAACTCTAATAAGTTCTCAAGTAGCATTTATCTTACTTTGCCTCTGTAAATTTTGATTATCAATGGAAATATTTTTTCATCAGTTTGTGTGTACAGTGAAATCAACGTTTACCAACATTTACCAATAAAAGTCAAATCCTTCCAAATCTCATATATTGCTGAACAGTTCTGATTTGCTCCAAAAGAGGAGAGTGGTGATACAGACACAGACTAGCTGGTTCATTACACTACTGGACATAGATTGGTGCCTCCCCACACTAGGGGGCACAAGCTAAAGGCGAGGATATGTGACCACCCCAAGTTTTTCCTCCCCTCCCCCAGCCCGGGGCCCCTGTGCTCCCTGCCTGCTTCCTTCTCTGGGCTTGGCTTCCGGGGACAGTGGTCGAATATGCTGATGGCTAGGGGACTCCAGCTCACTCAGCCGCTGTCCCCGGAAGCCAAGCCTGGGTGGGGAGCAGCCCAACACCGCTGCAGCTAGGCACTCTTCCAGGAGCTGCTGTGCTGCACCGGGCAGCATTCCAGTGTGACCGGAAGAGGCTCTAGTCCAGCCCCTTCTGCTACAGCTCTGGCCCTGCCCCGCTCCCCTCCCGGGCAGCTACTGCAGGGGCATTTGATCCTGCATGCCCCCCCACCCCCCGACGCATCACCTCAAATATTGGAGTTAGAAGTTTACTTTTATTTCTGGGTTGACACATTCTCATTTCACCTTCCTCTGTTCCTTTCATAGCACTCCTAGTCTTGGGCACAAATGAGAGACAGATTTTGGGAGTGCAATGGAAGCTAGTTTACTGTACAGCAAGTAGAGAACAATTCAGTAGGGGCAGAAGTCCCAGTTTCTACAGCATTCCTGGTGCCAAAGAAATGAGAAACGTGGACTGAAAATAAAGTCTGTCATCTGATCAGCAACACAGAAGTGTAACCCTAAGGGGTCACTGGGCCCAGCCTCTGTCACACTAATGACCTACGCACTGGGGCAGAGTGAGAAAAACTAAGACTCGGAATCACACTCAAAACTTTCCATGGCAACAAAGATAATGTCAGCAGGTCTCTGCAATGCTCCCAGCCCTGAAAGATGAGGACTGAAAATGGATCTAGGTTTTCTGCACAGAACTCATCCTCAGAGCTCCAGCCTCAGGGAACTGAGAGTCCATGAATCAGATTTCAGTCTCCTACATGGCTGTGCAATTCTGACTCATTTCAACAGAGGGCAATGGTGACACAAAACTCCTAGGAGCGTCACCAGCCTGGCCCCACTGGGAACAAGGATTAGGCATGTCTGGATGCGCTGCTGCGGTCCGGATCCATTGGCTGGGTGTGAGTGAAGACTATTCTGTGGGAAAGTGCAGGAGGTGGTTACTTGGGGGATTTCTCACAGATCCACGGGCAATGAACTTCACAACTGGAGGCCTGGAGGGTACCCTGCAACAGGACGCCACAGTGCTGCACGGGGCTGTTAGAGAGGACCCTGCAAAAGATACACAGAGAACACAGACCGAGGAGAAATAGTAAGAGTCATCACTAAAAGGCAACCATAAAGAGTTTTCTGCCTTGTCAGGGGGAGGTGACAGGAACAGCCACAGAAGGGGCAGCTGTCACTGAATCCAAAACGAACACTAATAGAGACTGCATATATAGAATAACCCCCCTGGCCCATTATCATCATGATACCCATGCCAGTACTAGACAAGGACACGGTGAAGTGAATTAACTTTAGCAATTTGAGCGGTGTGTGTGTTCATGCCAGGAGCCATCTGGGTCAGGATGAGAGTGGCAAAGCTGGGAGCCTCAGTGAGAGACCATTTCCTTCCAGGCGTTCTTTAGAACATGGAAGTTGGAATTCCAAAGGGAAACTGGTCAAGTAGTATAGCATAGGATGGGGAGTCATGAGGGCCTCATCCTACTTCTGTCAGTGACACACTGCGTGACCCTGTGCATGCTGGCTTGCTTCTCTGGGCCTCACCTTCCTTATCTGCAAAATAGGAATACCAACGCTGAGCTCCCCCACAGAGCGGGTGTCAGGCTAGCTCATTACTTGGAGTGCTCTGAGAAGGTGCTAGAGAGAGGGAAAGTGTTCTGCCATTATAATAAAGTCCCAGGGCCAAATCCTGAGGTCCTTATTCAGGCAACTGAATGAGTAAAAATGAAGGCTCAAATGCTGGTGTAAATCCAGAATAACTTTACTAACGCCAAAGGGCCTATGTCAGGTCTACACTATGGAGACTATAGTCGTAGCTATGCCAGTGTAGGAACACCATCTCCCCGAGTGACAGTAGCTAGGTCAATGGAAGCATTCTTCTGTTGACCTACTGGCAGCGGGGCTTAGGTCAGCAAAGCTACGACACTTTGGGGGGTGGGGTGGATTTTTTGACACAGCTATGTCAGCCTAAATTTTAAGCTTAGACTAGGCCTAATTCTTCACTGCCTTGAACTTTTTGTGCCACTTGCACCAGTGCAAAGTGGGTGTGAAATGCTCCCAAATCAGAAAAGTAGGGCTTGATTCTGATCTGACTTAAACCAGTTTAACAGCAGTGGGACTCTAGACTGTAACCAGTGTAACTCTATTCATTTCAATAGAATAATTCTTGATTTACAGAGCTGCAGTTAACATCAGTTTCAGAGCTGTAAGATTTTTATAGCTACTTTTCATAGGTATAAAAGACATCATACTGTGCAAAGTGGCTGTCACGCTCCCCAGGAATACCCAGGGCTGTGAGGTACCTCACCACCACCACCTGCCATTAGCTTGAGGCAGTCTTGCCTGTGCCTGCTGTGGATTAGCTCTCTGAAACCACCAGCCTGTGGTAACATAAGCACACCATTCAGGCCTCACTCTTGCTCTACAGGTTAGTAATAGTCCCCAAGTCCTCTGAGCCTTCCCTGAAGTGTCCAGCCCCAGTATACTAGACACTCACAGAATTACCAGGCCTGCTGTTCCCAAAGGAATAGTACACAGCAGCTTGTCAGATTCAACTCAGGACCAGCATTTTGCTTAAATATATCTCAGTGCTGTGGTGTTAGAGTGAAAACAAGAATAAATTTATGATCAAAGCACAGCGATACAAGTGACAGTGAGTATGAGTATTGGAAACAAATGGTTACATACAAAAGAAAATAAGAACACACTTTCTAGAGACAAAACTTAACTAACAAGTTATAAGCTTCTTTAACCAAGAGTGTCTCACCCACAGTTCTCTCCAGTGTTTTCAACTAAGCCTAGCTGAGAACGAGACCCCTCTTTCATGAAGCAAATATGCTATCTATTTACTTCCTAGGTGAAGGATGACATGTTGTTGTCTTGTCTCCCAAATACAGAAGAGTAAACCTTTGATGTGCACCTCAAGATAGTGTTCTCTCCCCCTACTCCACTGTGTGGTTCTTCCTGTTATTTTTCTCTGTCATGTTTTACAATCCTTCATGACCTCTCGAGGTCCCTTCCAGTCCTATGATTAACATGCAGTTTAGACTGATAAGAGGAAACCCATTGTGAACCACACAATAATTAATTAACATGTAAACAGCCATATAGATAAACATTTCTTGTCTGTCAGAAAACCTGTTATTGCTAGTGACCAGTCCCTAGACAAAGTCTATAAGAACTTGATTTTTAATGTATTTACATAACTCCTTACATAACATTCGTACACGTGCTTCATAATTATATAGATGATCAGTGTGACGTTGGCTTTTATTTGAGACCTCACATGACATTCTTTGGTGAACTAGAATGAAAAAACCAGACCCAGGAGTTCCCTGTAGCTCCTCTGCACCCCTTTGCCAGTTGGCATTAAGAGGGTCTTGGGTCAGAGTAGTAGAGAAAAAGGCTCAATGGCCTTGGAGTCATGCTGATGGCGGAAGAGCAGAATTTGACAGTGCGTAAGGTCTGGTTTAAACTTAGAATTTAGGTCAACATACCTACAGCACCCAGAGATTAAAAAAATCCACAACCCCTGAGCGCTATAGCTATGCTGACCTAACATCTGGTGTAGATGCAGCTAGGTCAACGGAAGAATGCTTCTGTCCACCTAGCCATAGGCACTGAATCTGTGGGTGCTCCAGGGCTGCAGCACCCATAGAAAAAAAAAGTGGGTGCTCAGCACCCACCAGTTGCTCAGCAGCGGGCACTGGGGGGAGGGAGCGGAGAGGGGGGTGAGAAGAGGCGGAGCGAGGCAGCGCATGCTTGCGAGAAGTGGCGGAACAGGAGCGGGAACAGGCAGAGTGAGAGTGGGGGCTTGGGGAAAGGGGTGGAGTAGAGGCAGGGCCTTGGGGTAGAGCAGGGATGAAGCAACCATCCAGAAAGAAGAAAGTCAGCACCTGTGCGTCCCTCAGGAATATTGTGTTCCTACATTGACAGGATAAACGCTTCCCTCAGTGTTGGGTGCATCTGCACTGTGGGGTTATGCCAGCATAGCTATGGTACTGTACCTGTACCTCAGTAGGTTTGCCTGGGTAAGGACTGATAAACACTGTTAGTACCTGAGGATCTAGCTCTTCCGAGTGCTGCTGTTTTTTTTAAAAACTGAAATCAAAAACTCACTTTGTATTGTTGAGTTTTGAGCCATCTTCCCAGGTCCAGCCAGTGCCTTTGCTCTTCCTCAGACCAATCCAGTGGGAATCTAGGTGCATTCCCAAGAACAGGTCCTAGAAGGGAGTGGGGAAGGACAAAGGAACTAATCAAAATCAACAGGAAAATTCAAGTCCTGATAGGCAAACAGAGCGATCAAATGTGAGGGAGCAAAATATACCAGCTGAGCCTAACTATTCTCAAGAACCTTTATTTTCAGTGATTATTTTGTTTTAAATTTCCTGGGAATGTCTCTCTGTTTATTACAAAAATTCTAAAATGTGTGAAAATCAGTGCAAAAAATTAAACTTGACAGTTTTCTGCATAAATATCCTGGTTAATATGGGGGGACAGGAGGACAGAAAAAAAAGTAACAGAGAAAAGTAAGAGTATTGAAAGTAAAAGCAGTTTAATGTTGTGGTTTATTTAATGAACTGTACATAAACAGTTTGTGACTATATGTACACATGTGCATGCGCGTGCGTATCTTCTACCACATTGCTTTACGTTGACCAACAGCCTCACATTTACACTTAGACTAACTTATTATTAACATAAAACACAACTAATAGAATGCACTGGATTTTCTTAAGATAATCAGTATTTTCATGTACCTGAGTGGCCAAAAATTGGATGAAAAAAATCAATAAAAGCTAAATAATAACTTTTGTAAAACTTGGGAATTTTTCAGTAAAAATTGAAAGGACCTTAACCTTAAGAAGCTGCGGGGGCAGCATGCAGAGCCCCTTGGTGGCTCCTATGCGTAGGAACCGGAGGGAGGACATCCCACTACTTCTGGGAGCTGCGCAGAGTGGGGCAAGCCCCTGACGCCACTCCCCAGCTGAAGCGCCGGAGAGGGCAAGCCCCGGACCTCACTCTCCATCGGGCACTTGAGGGCCAAATTAAAACGTCTGGAGGGCCGGAGGCGGCCCCCGGGCCATAGTGTGCCCACCCTTGCCCTACAGGCTTTCATTTCCATTTGTCTGACTTTGAGCTTGTGTTCATTGTTCATAGAAAGAATAACTGTACACAATAAATTCCGCCTTGGAATAAATCCACAAAAGTTGAGGAAATCACTCAGAATGAATTTGCCCCACTGGGTTTCTACCTAAATCATAATAAATACACCATGCCTCCTGCTGCCAGGAATGGTGATGCAAAGAAGCAAACAGCAAAGCTGACATCTTCCAGCAATGAAGTGTCTTTGTGAGGCAAGGGACTAGGAGGAGCCATAGAGATTCCTGGGGAATGGAAGCTTGGAGGCACCAGGGAGGGCTTCTGGCCATGTGGAGATAGGCCAGATTGGGAAACATCTCCAGGAAATCAAAGAATGTTTTCAGCAAAAGGGAGCCTATGGGTCACAACCTGTGCAGCATAAGGAACGCAGTAGCACGTGGCTGGAGTACAGGGGTGATTTGTAGAAGGAAAATCCAGTGTATGTGGAATTCATGACAGGAGATATCAAGGGAGGCCCCAGAAACTGAGAAGTGGGTGGGGAACTTTCAGCCGAGGGGTTAGGGAGGTTTTCTGGCAGTAGAAAAATGGGTCGTACCGGGGTTGAGGACGGCTCCCAGCAGCAAGGACTGTGGTCAGGATTTGCTTAAGCAAGAGTCCCAACTAGCTTTGCCTAGTTTGCCTGGTGCCTGAAACTCTGAAGTGAGCTGTAGCTCACGAAAGCTTATGCTCAAATAAATTGGTTAGTCTCTAAGGTGCCACAAGTACTCCTTTTCTTTTTGCAAATACAGACTAACAAGGCTGTTACTCTGAAATCTCTCATGGTCATCAGTTTTGTGCCCCCTACCTGGCACCTGAAGGTGAAAGACCTTACAGATGGCTCCCAGTATCACCCATACAATTGTGTTCAGTTGCTTACACTGGCTGAGCTAAGCTAACTCTCATCAGTGGAAGCTATTGGTGGGGGCGGGGGAAAGGAGATACGGGCCAGAGGATGCAAAAAGGCTCCCATGCAACATCCTTCCCTGACTGCTGATCATAACCTCCCCATGGGAGCCTCTTGGATGTAGACTGAAAATGTCAGCCTCCTGTAAAACATTGTTATAATCAAGGTTTTTTCTCTCCTTTATAGTAAATTGGTGTCAGCATGATAGCATGCACTGGGGGCAAATCACAGAAGCATTTGCAAGACAACAAAAGAGCCTCATGTAATGATACTGACAGACTTTTACCATTTTCTTGGCATCACTGATCATCAGGAGATGTGATCCTTCTGCAGAACAGGATGCCTGGCTGGAATTCCAATCCTTTTTTATCTTGGAGAAGTAGTAACAGCTGCTCCTGTAACCCAACCACTGGTCAGGGCATCCAGGATAGGAGCTATCTGCAAAGGAATCATAATAATGACTTTTCTCTATTTCTATTCACTCTGAAGAATTTTAGGGCATTTTATAGCCTGGATACATGCTGGGATTGTACATCCGCTTGCGGAAATGTAGCCACCTTGGGTAGAACACGACAGCCATGTGGAAATGATGGACTGTAATTAAGGCAGGGACCTGAGAGTCAGGAATAAAAGTATAAATGGCTATACAAGGCAATGGAATCACAGGCCCTGTGTGTAATTTGCACCACTCTGACACTGGGATAACTCCACAGACTTCAGTGGCTGCAGTTACTTAGTCCTGTGAGAGCAGAATTTAGCCCTCTGAAAGCAAGACAGGCACTGCGTGTGGTTGAAACACAGGGGAAAAGGTCACGACATACTGTGGGTGTGATCGTTTCACAGGATGAGAAGTGGAATAGGTGTGACTACAGCTTATAGCAGCTTGCAGCATACGCATATGGAGTTTAGCACCTTCTTGTGCATGCTACCCGCAGAATGTCATACCAGCAATACTTTTATTTCTCAATTCACTGTCTTAAGACTCATTTTTCTGGAAAAAAAAATTATTATATTTCATTGTTCTTCCTTTAACTAGGAAACAAGGCCTAGGATAGATCCTCTGGGGTCTCCATAGCGGGTGACCTCAGTAAGCTGCAGGCAAGCTTCTGCTTTCCTTTACAGGAAGTAAAGCTTCCTTTACAGGAAGCTAGAGTATCTCCAGTGGCATTACTCCCGATTTGCCATAGTATAATGGTAATCAGAATCTTGCCTTCTCTGCTTAGGTGAATTGAGAACAGATCTCCCATCTTGTGATCTCAGGTAGTTCACATCAATGTCTCTTTGGTCACTCACCAATCCTCCAAACCGCCCACGCTACCACTGTAATCACCAGGAGGGTGTTCAGCATCCCAACACCTACAGCCAAACTGCACAGGCCAGATGACCAGCGCTGGGGAGCTGGAAGAGAGAAAACAGGAACCATGGTAAATGTATGGTGTGTACACCTACCTGACTATGCAACCCCATTAACAGTTGTAATTTTTAGGCTTGTACACACACAGTACTGAACAATTTATAAATGGGTCCAACAATTACAGCATTCCTGTCCCAAACAGCTTATGGCTACAGAGAAGGTTATAGATTTTATACCCCAAAATGGACGCACTGCTTACATCTCCCTATACTTCCTTTAATAATATATCCATATCCAGAAATGGCTACCTACATCTGCAAAACCCAGGCATCAGTAATTCCACAACACTGAACTCAACAGCCCTGCACAGTGCTATGGGATATTTTGCAGCAGGGAGCACTCCTGGTAAGGGAGCACCTTCCTCTGAAACAGAACTGACCCCAATATCTCAGAGTCCAGCTAGGGCACTGTGTGCACGGGGATGGTGCATGTGACTCAACAAGAAGCGCTGTTCCTGAAGAATCATTACTGACTCCAATGTTCCATTGTGGTGCTGAAGAATGATTTTGTGCTGCTGGAGCAGCTACTTTTCATATACAATGTAAAAATAAGACCTTCTCCACATGTTGATTTAAAGATGCCCTGGTACCTTCTGCCTGAGTAGGTAGTTTTAATCTCAGCATCCTGCCCAGGTTCCTAATCATATAACTACATTCTGCCTCTCTAGAATTCTTCCTGGAGTTTCAGATGGAAAAGTTACTCCCTTCCTCTGGCATTGATCATGTCTTCGTTCATCTCTGTACAATGCCTAGGAGACCTTTGGATAACAATTCATTATTATTATTATAGTTTTACTAGCACAGTGTGGCTGTTGAGTGCTTCAAGATATTGGACTCAGTCTGAGGGCCTGAGAAATCCTGCAAACCCTGATGTTAGGAGGGAAGGGAGAGCTCCATATCCATCACATAATCTTTTGCACACATTGATTATAAACAGAAAATAGCTCAAACAGGAGATAAATCTCTGCTCACATTTAACACTGAATTCTGGTTTCACAGTTCTGAAAGGTTGCCTGTCCAAACTTTTCAGTTCCTCCCTCTCTCCCCCCTTCTCAAAAACAGAGTGTGTCCTGGACCCTCCTCTCTCAACTTCCCAGTCCAGACGTTGCATCTTTCCCACAAAACCAAAGTTCCCGCTGCCATGAAAAACTAATTTCAGCACAATATGAATGAGGCAAGACGAAAATAAAAGTGTGATGGGTACTGTTGCTTGGTTACATCTTCCCCAAACTGTAGCTGTGCTGGCTATGTTATTATTTTGACTTTTAAATGTCCCTCTCACTGGGCTCTTGGCACATGTACAATGAAAGAATCACAAATCAGAAATAAATGTATCACTATAAGTTCATCTGCCTTAATCAGTTAGTCCCAATAAGTTATCAATATCCCTTGAACTCACATACACTTTTCTAATCTTGCCTCTTCCCCAAAAGTTGGGGAAGCTAAAAGGCCTTGAACCAGACTATCAAGGTCAGCAGACTCAGGATCCAGGAGGCAGATGGAAACAAACCAAAATAAATGCTCTGGTACCCTTCCAAGATTCAGCCACAAGACTTCACTCACAGTCAATTGTATAGATGTTCAAAATGTGATCATGCTTGATCCTTGGGCTTGGTTCCCCCTCACTGCGGTGCAAAGACACCCATGGGCTCTGCGTGTTTGGTTTCTCCTAAGTGAGGCACATTACACCACTGGGCTTCTTGAGCTTGGCTCTCCTTTGGAGGGGGTGCGAGGGGGTCAGATGCTCCCTTGGGCTCCACTAGGCTCCTTAGGTTTGGCCCCTTCTTGACTGGGGAAAGTGACAGTATTCTCCCAAGGCCAATCAATCACTCACAGTAGATTGCACAGACCTTCATAATAGGATCATCCCTCTCCTTTCCTACATGCTCACAGTGAGCTGATTTCTTTTGTCGTCACCCACAATTATTTGAGCCCTGGGTTCAGTGGCTCCTCTCCTTAGCCTGGGCAAAGGGCCTTTAGCCATGGGCAGCGGGTATCGGGCTGGGAGAGGGACAGGCGTGGCTCACCCATGCTCCACCCCAAACCTCCTGCTGCTTCCCACTCTGCGGTGGCATCGGCCTCCCTCCCTCCTGGTGCTTCAGGGCTGGGGGACCTGTGGTGACACTGCCCTCCCTCCCTCCAGGGCTGGGGGCGCTAGCCTGGGGCAGGGGCCAGCAGCCACAGTGGGAGGACTCTGGGTTCTGGCAGAAGGGGCAAGGCCCTGGGCAGAAGGGGCAGGGCTGGCGGCTAGTCTCCCCCAGCCAGCGATTCACGCACTGCCCATGCTTTCTTTTGTGGGCAGGTTTGTGCATGCCCACCTCCCCGGGACTTCAACAGGTGAGCAATGAAATAATTAATACTTGAAATGTCACCATTGTTATCCTTGTGTATCTGGCTTGGCTCCCACTGAGATAAATAGGGCAGTTCACACTACACAGAGTTATTGTTTCAGATTCTGGAAACACAGATAGAGATCACTGCATACATTAGCCTTGAAAACAGGAGCTGAGTGTATCTCCCCAACCAACCATTACAGATAGAGACTTTTTAAAACACATGAAAACTTGAATTTTGGAGAATAAGGTAGCAGCATACAAGCAGTGTTGGTATGCCGCACTGGTGCATACTGGCTGAATCTGAGTCTTGGCACGATCCATCCAACTAAGGAGGAAAGAAAACTCCAGAGTTGAGGGTCCTTCAGTGAGAATTTAGTGCCTGTAGTTCTGCCCTGTTGAACCAAGTTGCTGTAGGCCTGAGGGCCTCTGCTGATCTCAGCTGTTATGGTATCACATGAGGAGAGAGGCTTTGTGTGGGGAAAGGGAAAAAACCACTATGAGATGAAACTGAACAAGAGGTGGAAATCTCACACTGAATAATCACGAAATATTTCCTAACAGCGAGGAACCTGTGAAACTAGAGAAGAGTCTCCCCATAGGAAGAGGAGGGAACCTTTTTACAGACAGGACATTTAAACAAGAACTGGACAAAGCTCTTGGAGAGTTGACTGTGGTGAACTGCATTGTTCCCCAGGGAATGACAAGATGTGACCCAATAAGAGGTAGTAACAGCCTTGCTTCAGCCCAGAGAAAGATACTTCATTTGGAGAAATGAGGTGGACAGTGACCAGATGCTGTTTCCTGGGGAGGCAGAGGGATATGGGTTTGAAGAGAAGCTTCCCCTTTTCTGTTCCTCTGGTTTTGGCTCAGCAGGGGACAATGTGAAAAGGGAGATTTTGAAACAAAAGAGAAACTGCAAACATATAACTGAAATATACACAGTACAATCCCCATCTCCCACGTATTGGACTTGAAACACAGCCAGAAAACATAGCCAAAATCAAGGAGGTTTCCTACCAACTAAGTGAGACTTCACTGGCAGGTGGATATTTGAAGTTTCCTATAGCAGCTTTGTTCAAACAGATCAATATCTAGGCATGTGGCAACAACAGCCACAGGCACCAGGAATGTGTGTTTTAGCTGCATACACAGAAGCATCTGTGGCTAACGGGCTCTGTGGAGGAGGGGAAAGCAGTGGACGTGTTGTTCCTTGACTTTAGCAAAGCTTTTGACACGGTCTCTCACAGTATTCTTGCCAGCAAGTTAAAGTAGTATGGGCTGGATGAATGGACGATAAGGTGGATAGAAAACTGGCTAGATTGTCGGGCTCAACTGGTAGTGATCAATGGCTCCATGTCTAGTTGGCAGCCAGTGTCAAGTGGAGTGCCCCAAGGGTCGGTCCTGGGGCCGGTTTTGTTCAATATCTTCATAAATGACCTGGAGGATGGCGTGGATTGCACCCTCAGCAAGTTTGCAGATGACACTAAACTGGGAGGAGAGGCAGATACGCTGGAGGGTAGGGATAGGATACAGAGGGACCTAGACAAATTAGAGGATTGGGACAAAAGAAATCTGATGAGGTTCAACAAGGACAAGTGCAGAATCCTGCACTTAGAACGGAAGAATCCCATGCACCGCTACAGACTAGGGACCGAATGGCTAGGCAGCAGTTCTGCAGAAAAGGACCTAGGGGTTAGTGGATGAGAAGCTGGATGAGTCAACAGTGTGCCGTTGTTGCCAAGAAGGTCAATGGCATTTTGGGATGTATAAGTAGGGGCATTGCCAGCAGATCGAGGGACGTGATCGTTCCCCTCTATTGGACCTTGGTGAGGCCTCATCTGGAGTCCTGTGTCCAGTTTTGGGCCCCACACTACAAGAAGGATGTAGAAAAATTGGAAAACGTCCAGTGGAGGGCAACAAAAATGATTCGGGGACTGGAACACATGACTTGTGAGGAGAGGCTGAGGGAACTGGGCTTGTTTAGTCTGCGGAAGAGAAGAATGAGGGGGGATTTCCACTACCTGAAAGGGGGTTCCAAAGAGGACGGATCTAGACTGTTCTCAGTGGTAGCAGATGACAGAACGAGGAGTAATGGTCTCAAGTTGCAGTGGGGGATGTTTAGGTTGGATATTAGGAAAAACTTTTTCACTAGGAGGGTGGTGAAACACTGGAATGCGTTACCTAGGGAGCTGGTGGAATCTCCTTCCTTCGAAGTTTTTAAGGTCAGGCTTGACCAAGCCCTGGCAGCGATGATTTAGTTGGGGATTGGTCCTGCTTTGAGCAGGACGTTGAACTAGATGACCCCCTGAGGTTCCTTCCAACCCTGATATTGTATGATTCTATGATCTCTTCTTGAGACAGTGAAGCAATAGCCTCGCTCTACACAGTTCTGATGAGATCCTACCTGGAATATTACATTCAGTGTGGGCACCTCATTATTAGACATTAGCAAACTGGGGGGAGTTCAGAGAAGAACAAAAATGATCAGGGGATTGGAAGGAAACAATTATAAGGAGAAATTAAGAGAGCTAAAAATCAATCTTAACTAAATCACAACTAAGGTGGGGACTTCATAAGAGCCTGCAAATATGTGAAGGGTGTAAACTGCAAGAGGGGAGAGGAAGCTATGGAAGGAAAAATATAAGATGAATTCCAGGAAAATCTTCCTGATAGTGAGATGTGTTGAGCTGTGGAATGGTCTCTTAGGAGAAGAGATGGAAGCTCTGTCACAAGGGGACTTTTAAAACTAGACTGAAGAAAACACTGAAAAAATATAATATGCCACATGGAACAATCTTGCACTCGCCCTTGGAAGACAGACAGGATGATCTAAAAGATCTTTTCCCTTACTCATGTATGATTCATATATGCTAATAATTTATCTGTACCTTCATCTTTATTAATCTACATAGGCTTAAATTCTCCAGTCTATTGTCATGCAGTGAAGTTCAAGCAAGCTACAGATTTCAGGTGCCCAACCTGAGAATCCTACTAGGGGCCTTACTTTCAAGAGATGCTGTGCTCTTTCAGCTACCGCTGATTTCCGATAGTTGTGAGTGCTCAGCACTTTTAAAAATCAAACCCAAGATGTCTCAAGCTGGACACCCAAAATCAATGGCCAGCTCTAAACATTTCTGCCATAGCTCCTGTAGATACCATATGACAGAGCCTTTGCTCTGGGATTCACCAATTTCATTTGGCTTGCTTACCTCTCTTTGTCACGTCGTCGTTGGCACAGACTGGCGGTGTCCGTGAAAACTGTACAGAAGTATAGATTATTTCTTCACTCATTTCAGCCACAGAGGTTTCTGCCCTGCTTACCTCCATGCCAAGATGAGGTGTGTATGGCAAGCAGTTTGAATCAGGCTGTTGCGCGAAAGAGCTCAGAATAAGGCAAAACAGGAAACCTGAGGCTGCATTTAAATAAAAAAAACATGCAATCTGGCAGCCTCCACCTCTAGCTGTGTGAAATAAATGAATTTAAGGAAGGGGTAGCTTAAATGGAGGCAAGAGCAAATACACTGATACAAAACAGAGGGAGTACCAGGAAACAGATTATTATGATCGGTGTAATAAGCAGCAGTCACCAGTACACCAACTGCCTAATCATTGCCAAGCACTTTGGAGGCAACACAGCCAAGATGAGTTTTAAGAGGAGATTTGAGGAGGACAAGGTGGCGGCTTTGCAGACTTTTACAGAGAGCTCTTTCCAGGCATAAGGGGCAGCATGGTAGAAAGTGCAAAGTTGTTCTTGGAAAATCGACAATTTCAGCAAATGGGCAATGAAAGCTGGAACCAGTGGCAGAACAGAGGCAACAGTCACATCTCAAAAGTGTATATGAGATGACAGATAAAAGTGAAGCTCATCCATGAAGGCCTTTTAAAGGGAAGACAAATAGTGTTTGATGCGGTAGAGACGGGGAAGAGAGTGGAGGGATGCAGAGAAGGAGGAAATGGTCAAAGTGATAAAACAAGTAAATGATTTTTACAGCAATGCTTTGAATGAAGGTAAGTGGAACAAAAAGTGGTTTCTCAAGACCAGAGAGGAGGAACTTGTAGTTGAGACATGAGATAAGGTGAAGTTTATCTATACAGTGGATCTTAAAGACATTATTCAGGAAGAACCAGCAAGCAATAGATACAGCTTGGATGTGAGTATCTAGACCAGTGGTTCTCAACCTATTTATCATTATGGGCCACATATGCTGTGTGGGGGACCAGGCAGCAGCCAGCTGTTCGGACCCCAAGCTCCACCCTGCGGGGCCAGTGGCAGCCAACAACCCACCACACAGCACAGCAGATGGGAACCCACAGCCCTTAGCACACAGCTGAACTGGGCCGCAGCTGTGTCCTAATTGGGCCGCATGCAGCCTGCGGGTTGAGAACCGCTGATTTAGACAGAGGACTAAGTCAAAGGTGACACTCAGTTACAGGTCTGAGTGACAAAGAGGATGGGTGGCGTAATCCATCGTGAGTGAAAAAGGGAGGATAGAGGCTTGAGGGAAAAGATTAAGAGCTTTGTTTTGGCCATGTTGAGCTTCAGCCGATGGCTGAAAGTCCATGAGAAGATGTCAGACCAGCCTAGATTTTAGCTAGGACAGGAAACAGTGGAGAGGTGTATCTGTGAGCCATTAGTGTAGATATAATTTACTTAAATTTACAAATAACTATAAAGATGCCTATCCAAGTCCCTTGGTGCCTTAACACTCATTAATACAATTCAAACCTCAGCAACATTAAAATGATCACGTCAGCAGAAGCTTACCAGCCACCTACAGAAGCTCCTTTCTTCCCCTTCACGGTCTAAGACACATACACTCAGCCCTCTCCAAAAACCTTATCAAACAGGTGTCGTTTGTAGCGTGCCTGGAAAATAATCAGATTCTGACTATTTCAGACCCAGAGGGGGAGGAGATCCCAGAGACGCCGAGCCTCACAGAGAGAGCGCCCTGCCAGCCACCCCCCTCTTTCCTAACTAGGGGGCTCCGCTGGAGTGCCCCCGGGACTGCAGCCGTGGCAGTAAGGCAGAGATAGGGGTGATCCCTCAGGGAGGCTGGTCACAGGCCACTGAGGTCTTTATCCAGGAGTAATCAATTATTTTTTGTGAAGGTCCAGATTTCTTGGTCAAGGCATAGGCGAGGTCCAGACTCCAGAGAAACGTTTTCACGCCACAATAATGACCACCGCGAGTGAATAAAAGGACTTTGCAGTCCATTACAAAGCGTCCAGCGGTCCGGATTTGGCCCACGTCGGCCTGTTGACTAACCCTGGCTCACACCCAAGAGCCTGCTCTCCATGTAGAGGCCTGTGGGCAGCCAGGGCAGATCCCGAAGCTCGGCTATGAGAGGTTCCCAGCGGCTCCCCCTGGCTGTCAGGTGCAGCCCTGAGGGGTCGCCGGGGGGAGCTCCGGCTCCCCACCGCACGGCAGGGCCGCGAGCTCCCGGCCAGGCGCAGAGGCGAGACGCGAGCCCACATCCCCGAGGAACCGCGGGGGTCGCAGCGCTTAGGGGACCCGGCCGCGGCGGCCGGTTGCTTCCCTCGCCCACCCCCGCCCGCGGCTGCCAGGGCCCCGGGGACCCCGCCGCAGCGCCCGGGCTACGACCCCCGGGCAGGGAAACCAGGGGGCGGGGCCTGCCATGGCCCGGGGGCTTCCACCATCCCCCCCCCCAGCGAGCAGCGGGGTCTCAGGACTACAACTCCCAGCAGGCACCGCGCCCGCCTTCTCCCAGCGCGTGGGGGGTGGCGGTGGTGGGAAAATCAGACGATGGGCGAGGAGCGCGTGAGGGTCTCGTGAGCCAGCCTCGGGAGGCGGCCGGGGTGCGGCTATGTTCGGTAACCAGCCCTGAGCTGCCATTGGGAGAGAGCCTTTTGCGGGGTGGGTCCTCCTTCTGTGACTCTCATCGCTCATTGGATCTTCTCATGTGCCAATTTTTGAATTCCACTATTCATTGGAAGAGATGAAGTCGTAGGCGGGGCCTCCGTGGTCGTTCTCCCAGCCCATTGGACAAATAAGGGGAGACAGCGTCGTTCTTGCTCTGGAACCGTCACCCATTAATTGGATGAGGAGAGCTCTGGGGGCCAGGCGCCTTCTATCCCCACCTCTCATTGGGCGAAAAGTATCCGGGGCCGAGTCACGTTTTGCCGTCCTCATATGCCATTGGGGAAACTGATCAGGGGCGGGGCCTGAGGCCCGGCGTTGTTGCCTAGCTTTAGCGCCCGCCCCCTTACCCACTTCCGGCTTCCGGATCACGGGGTGGGACTGAGGGAGGCACCGGGCAGGCCGGTGGGGAGCGAGGAGGTGGTAGCGGTGGGGAGACCTTCCCCCACTGATACTCGCGCCTGGGAAGGGGCTCCCGCTCCAGTTAATGAGGGCCTAATTAGTTATTAATTTATGCGTGATGAATATTCATGAGCTTTCGTTAATAATTCATTAGGTGGGTAGAGGCCGGGCGGCTCACGGGATTCCCCAGGGTGGGCGCACGTGGCGCGGGCAGCGTGCGGATCATTGAGCTGGGCTGGGCTGGCACGACTTGGCTGCGTGGGGCTGACCGCGGGAGGTAGTGGCAGGGCACGTGGCCTTGTGGGTGGGTGGGTGGGTGGTGCAGACACCGGTGTCTGGGTAGCAACGGTGTGACGTGCAGCCTCGCAGATACTTCATGCCACACCTACCTCGCTGTCCCAGTGTCAGGTGAGTTTCTCCCTTTCCCCCCGTAATTTGTTTTCAGCATCTGTTAGTTGTCAGTGGTGGTGTTATTGGGGGTCGTGAAAGCCTGTGGGTGGGTGGATGTCGAGAGGATGGGCTGAGCAATGTATTGGGGGTGCAATAAGAGGCTGGCTGTTGGGGATGTGTGGCTGGGGGATCCCAAGTGCTCTCAGGATGCCCTTTACAGTTTAGGCCAATTGACCCTTACTTTGTTACAGCTGTGAACTGGGATGCAGTTTCAGCAGCACCACTGATCGTAGTGGCCAATTTGTGGTTGGAGAGGTGACTACAAGGGCCTTGGGGTCTGCTGTTGTGTGAGAGTATTGCTAGGTACCCATTGTACAGATTCCCATTCTGGGGGTGAAGGGACTTGGCTGTCAGGCCATCTGTCCACTCCTATATGAGAATATGGTGAATACTGATGGAAGAAACACCACCATGATCTCCTGACTTGGGATGGAGGAGAGAGATGGAAGAAATTTGTAAAGGAGAAAGAACTAATGAGAGGAGAGGACAAGGTCACTGAAGACTCCTAAATCCAGATATTGGATGGATCCTAACACACTTTGAAGTCCTTATATAACAGAATTATCCAGTTACTGAAATGCAGCAATCTCTGGGGTAGTACTCAGCAGCTGAATAGCCGCATGGCAACAGAACCCAACAATTTGAGTTTTGTGTCTAGAAAGAAAGCAGAACTCCAAATCCAGTTGAATCTTCAGGGGGTGTCTAAGGAGAGAGGATATAATCATCCAAGTTGGAATTTGACCAAAACACTGTGGTTAGCTCCCCTTCTGTGGCCAAAAAAAGTCACACAATCTTTAATGGCCATGAGTGGCTCTGGCCCTGGGCTTTCCATCTCAGCAAAAGTGGAAACTAATTGTGCTGCCTGTTATAAATCAGAAGGGGACACAGACCGGAAGTGAACAGTCTGGTGGGGATAGAGGAACTTGGTTAAATTTGAGTGTTTTGACAATGGAAACTATTGCCTGTTCAAAATCAATCCTTGGGCCAAACTCGCCCCGAGGGTGAGCCTGCTGCAGGCTGTGGATACACTAGGTGTGCACCTGGCCTTTTGTGCATTCATTGTTGATACTGTGTCCTGCCTGAACTCTAGCTATGGTCACTGGATTGTCTCTCCTAAATTTCCCCTCAGCAGTTTCAGTCCTCGCTTTCTGTCCTGAACTCTTGTATAGCATTGCTTGGTTCTGTTACATGGCTACTATATTCCATCCGATATGGCTGCATTTGTCTACTTCAGTCTTCAAAGCATGTTGAGGTCTTTGCCGCATGAGGGATGCTAAAGTACCGGAAGGCGCCAGTATTTTTATATCACTTTCAATTTGACAACCACATGAACTAAATATGTACAAGGTAGCCAGCCAGAAAGGTCTTTTCTACTGTTGAGAGAGAGGTGTGTTCTGAGCACGGAAGCCAGGAAACCACAAGTTCTTGTGCTGGTTCTGACTTGTTGTGTGCCTTTGTAGGGGGCAGGTCACAAGCTATTTGTGCCTCAGTTTCCTCTTTTATACAATAACCTCTTCAGATTTATTTGTCGACCATACACCCTGATCTAAGAGGTCTCACGATAGTTACAAGCTTTAGGGTATGTCTACACTAGACCTGGAGGTGTAATTTCCAGCTCAAGTAGACATACCCATGCTAACTGTGATCAAGCTAGCGTGCTAAAAGCAGAAGTGTAGCTGTGGCAGTGTGAGCGGCAAGAAGGGTTAGCCACACCAAGTATGCTCCCATCCAAGACCCTGAATACCATCCTTGGACAGCTAGCCACTCCCTCCTGCTCTCTGTACCACTCCAGTGTAGATAGTCCTTAGTGGCAGACCTTGTAACTCTGAATTCTTCAGTGTGGCTTTCATTATAACCCTCATGTAACTTCACTCGTCAACAGGCTGGCCCTTCCTTCTGTTAACTTCTTCGTGTTTTTGTAGCCATAGCCTGATTTTTATAAAATTTTGGGTCAGTGTATTAATCAGTTTCTGTCAATGTTAGGATCTTCGCTGGGAGTTGTGGTTGGAAAGGGAAATCGACTGTGTGGCTGCTATTGAATGGCAAGGTCATTGTCTGTTTCTCTGAGCAATTAGCTCAATGTTTAAAGGATGTTTTATGATTAAGACACAGGACTGTGTTGTTCCGTATCTTCATTAATGATCAGGAGGATGGCATGGATTGCACCCTCGGCAAGTTTGCAGATGATGCTAAACTGGGAGGAGAGGTAGTTATGCTGGAGGGTAGGGATAGGATACAGAGGGACCTAGACAAATTAGAGGATTGGGACAAAAGAAATCTGATGAAGTTCAACAAGGACAAGTGCAGAGTCCTGCACTTAGGATGGAAGAATCCCATGCACTGCTACAGATTAGGGATTGAGTGGCTAGGCAGCAGTTCTGCAGAAAAGGACCTAGGGGTTACAGTGGACAAGAAGCTGGATCTGAGTCAACAGTGTGCCCTTGTTGCCAAGGCTAACGGCGTTTTGGGCTGTATAGGTAGGGGCGCTGCCAGCAGATCAAGGGACGTGATCGTTCCCCTCTATTCGGCATTGGTGAGGCCTCAT